GGCTTCGCCTAAATCAAAGGAAAACTGTGAAAAACTATTATTAGAAAATTCACTAAGCGATTTTTGAACAGGAGCACTTTTCGTGGATTTAGTTTTAATATTCTCTTTGTGTATATTAGTGTTCAAATGCTGAAGCACTTGAAAGCGTTTTGCACAGCCAACTGTTTTCTCACACGCTCGGCAATAAAGAATTTCGTTATCCGTACTTATCATCTCTCCTTCGAACTCCCGCTGATACAGCTGTAATTTAGTTTTCTGACTTACTTTCACTTTCGGCATGACTACAGAAAGCTAAACAAACTTAACTACAGAGTAGTCACCGCTAATGTGAATGGCCCCAGCTTCAAATGAAGAAGCGTAACGAACCTCATGGAGACTTCGGAAATAAATAAGTGAAGTCCCTTATCGGTTGAATAGTATTACACTGATAGCGGCTACATGTGAACGCTTCCGACTAATCTCCTCGCGGCCACTTTGATGGTACGTGGATGAGGAAAGTTACTAGTAGAGGGATCGGGGGAAGTCCCGTACTGTCTATTGCATCAGAAACATGAATCATTAAGAAATGTTGAGTCAAATATGCAACAAATTCTAATACGGAAAAGAAAAATTGTATACACACGACCATGGTTAAAATTTTGAACATAAAATTAAAAATATATATGACAAACGTTTTAAAAAGGAAATATGCAGTATAAATAGAGATCTTCGAAAATATGATGCTTATTCATAAATAGGCAAAATATGCATTTATATGCTCCATCACACCATGTCCAAAATTTAAGGAATGAAGTAATTCATACATATATCCAAACGAGCATACTTTCTGGTTCCAAGAAAGAAATATGCATTTGCATTAAAATCCGGTCCCTAGTAATGACTTATGCTAGTCCCGCCTGGGAGTTTGTGGCAGACACTCATCTGGTGAAATTGCAGCGCCTGCAAAACAAGGTTCTCCGCACCATTGGCAATTTTCCCAGGCACACACCGGTTCGCGATTTAAACATGGCGTTCAAAATTCCGTACGTATATAATTATATAACAAAATGATGCAGGCAACAAGCGGAAGTCATACAAAATCATGATAACGAAAATGTTCACAATATCGGACAAGAAGAAGCCCGACACAGAAAGTATAAGATGCTTAAACTTGGCGGCGGTCAGGTATACGCCCGTTCAAGTGACTAGATTGCCGTTGTAGCGGAAGCTACTAGAAATAGGGCTGTACTGCTGTACTGAGCCTGGACTGACAAGAGGCCCTGTATACATTTATTATCATGTTTAACATGTAAAATGTAAATATCCTTTGCATTATGACAAATGACTCCCTACTATAGACAATGTAAAAGTAAAAAGTAAAGCTATACCTGTACCAGGCCGTGAAGGCCCATAGGGTTGTGAGACGTTGAGGGTCCCACATTATCTAGACCAGTGTTTCCCAACTTGTGGTCCGCGGACCCCTGGGGGTCCGCGAGTAATTCAAATGGGGTCCGCGGGATAGTTTATTTTCATTAAACTTTATCTTATCATGTTCCTCACACCTGGGATATTTGCAATGTATATCTCTGGCTCTTGAGGCCCATGGTTGAAGTAAAATTTAACGGGACTGTTGGTACCGTTACTTCTTCCCTTTGTAAAGCAGAGGTGAATAACCAACGATTTGTGTAGCTTTTTCCAAGGACATTTTCTTTTGGTCGGCCCATTGCATCTCAGACCCGTGTTTCAGGGTGGACTGCTGTCCTAGTACCTGCTGTCCGACCATTCTCCCCTCCTCCCCCACCAAATCCATCCCTCTTTGGTTGGGAATAAACCTGGGACCATTGACCACGTTTCTTATTCATTTCAGTGGCAGAGCGAACAACCCGTGTTTCTTTAGTTTTTGTGCAGTGAATTTTTATAATATTATACAAGTGTGTTTTTCTCGGTGTAATATTCAGTTTTTCTGCTTTTGTTCAAATAATTGAGTTCACAACGAAACTTCTGATTTTCAGTTTGTTCACGATCTTATTTAGATATGGATCGGTGGTTAAAGTGTGGATCATTGAAACGTAAGACAGACGATAATCCGAGTGGATCTAGTGTTGTCGAAAATAGTACCAGGGCAGATAAAGTTCCTTCCCTCAAAAAATCACGCAAATATTGTCCATCTTATTTGCAAATGGGATTTTCCGTTCTGAATAAAGACGGCGAAGACAGACCACAGTGTGTTCTTTGTTGCGAAGTGTTATCGAATGAATCTATGAAGCCGTCGAAGTTGAGACGCCACCTTGAAACGAAACATGGCGAATCAGTTAATAAGCCAATAGAATATTTTCAAAATAAGAAACTGCAATTTTGCGGTTCACAGAATTTAGTTAAGGACATTGTATGTGGAACGAAAAATGAAAA